GGAACCCATAACTTTCAAGATGTTGGGTCATGACTAACATCGCATCTTGTTGACCAACCTCTTGGCTGCACCGTTGGCAAAAATCGAAACACCATGTATTAAATGATGGAATGGTGCAAGACCACCGTGACACCCGCAGTATGCCAACTGAAGTTTTCTTGTTACCCATGATTGATACTAGATTTTGCAAAGTACTTGGCGTTCGATGATGGCCCCTGCATGGGAATAAATATTGTGTTGCTTTTCTCTGTCTTCTTTTCTTTTTCTAGTTCCTTGTATTCTCGGGCCATGGGCTCCCAGTGGATTGTATCTCCTTCTTTGAATTAATGAATCAGAAAATGGTTCTGCCTTTTATTAGATTTTCCGCTTTCTGCATACAGGACAACAAAAAGACAACAAAACTTTTTCTTTCGAATATATTTGTTGCGTTGTCATTTGGGGCCTCCTGCCCCTGGGTTAACAAAGAAATGCTTCATAAAAAATGATATTCATTATTTTCTTAAAGACCAGAAGCTTACAATTAGGACCCACAAAGAATGGGGTGGACTCAATTTTTGATTACCTGCACAGATCAAACCAAAAACAGAGTATATACAACTTCTTTTGTGTATGCATGAACCTACATGAAGTACTATGGTTTTTATTGAATCCTTCCAATGGAAATCACGAGAAGATGGGTGTTCGTTCTCCTGAATCTAATGTTTTAAAAAACAATGTGAGCATCCTACCGAGTTGGAGTCTTTGGCATTGAGGTCGAGTCTTTGCATTGAGTCCCTGAGATCGAGCTTGAACCAAACCTTTTGGTTGGTTGGTCATGAAAGAGATTAAGACTGCTGGATCTTATTTGCATATAAAGGTTAGGACTGTTTTGCATTAGAATATACAGCTTGTTATTAATGTAGCCTTTCCTGTACACTTGCAACCGCGACAGTACCAATTGGGGAGTTTTACACAGCCAAGTCATTTCATCTTAGAGGCACTTACCCGTTCTTTATTCACAGCCTTCACTTTCCCATTTTCCCGTTTCTCCTTCTCTTCTTCACTTAGTCCCGCCCAATTTCTTCTTTTCAATTGTCAACCATATTTAAGCATTAAGTCAACTTCAAGTAAGTAGGAATTCCTTGAAGTGTGATTGGTTATTTCCTATTCATTTAGTTCTATTGAAGATGAGTTATTTGAGAATTCTTGTGTATTAGGGAGACAGAAAGTTCAAAAGGTGCAGAAAAGGAGAAGCTGAAACAGGAGGTCAAGCTTTTTTGACGTTCGAAGGTTTGATATTCTCAAAATTGTTGTTTACCTATTTTTCTTTGCATGTAAATTTGTTGGTGTGTTTGCTAGTGAGATGATATGTTGCTTATTGTTGAGGAGTAAGCAGTGGACATGATGTTTTGAAACAACAGGGGGGATGAATATTATGAAGTGGAAAACAGAAAGTTTGCTGGAAATTTTACAGGCAACTTTCATCTTGATTTGAACCCATTTTAATGATTGGATTAGGAATTTGTCACAGAAGAGTTATTTTGGTTTCCTTTTTGTGTTAGCTTTACACGCGTTTTGGAAATCACTCAATTTGGAAGATTAGGCTATTTTTGAGAGTTATGGGCCAAAAGAATGACAGGACTGCACAGAATCACGTTTCGCGCGGCTCGCGCATGCTTGGGAAAAGCCACGTCGCGCTTCGGCGATACTTCCCATTGCCCTCGCTCAAGCGACCTTGGAGCAGGTAGCTCTCTGCACTATCAATTGCACAACTCGCAGCTCGCGGAGGATCACATGCCGGCTGGTCGCGACTTGGCCAAGAAGCCTCTTCTGAACTCTCAGCGCTCGCATTTCGCGCTCGTGCGGATCACACAAGGCGCGCTCGCGACTTCATTCTGCGCGCTCGCACTTGGTGTGCCTCGCCGCGAGGTCATCGGATCCTGACTTATCAAGTCCTCCGAGAAACAACACTGCATACTTCCCTTCTTGAGTGTAGTTATAGCGAACCAAAAGGGCATACAAGCCCTTGGGCCTCGCTGTAACTTTTTCCACATACATTACCAGCCCAAACTCTATCAACTGGGGGCCAAGTCACTGACGCTTCGAGCCAGAACCCTCGACTCTCAGGCCAACCTTCCTGTCTAAGTAGTTTCCAACTGGCAAAACCGCAGGCTTATCAAAGAATAACCTCATTTTACCCAGCATTGAAATGAATCCCTATATGAGGCATTGGGCATCGCTATTAAAGAGCTCCAACGATGTTTGCCCACACCATGGCTTCCCCAAAATATATTAATTCAAAACCTTCTACAATGGGGCGGGTTGACACCTTCTAACAAGAGGAACTTTATAGATGCCATGCAGGAGGATCATTAAATGAAGGAAGTACTACTAATTGATTGCAATTTGATGTTCACTAGAAGAGATTGGCCAACAATTAAATAGCATATGAGCCAACTTGAAAGGGCTCAGGTAAGTCATTCTTACTACTAATAATGAGTCTTCATCTTTCTTCAAAGAATCTCAAGGTAAAGGAAAGTGCCTATGAAATTAGATCCTTTAACCATGGATGCCAAGCACCAGATTTCTGCTTTGTTTATAAAATTGAAAACTTAAACATAAGTATAAATCAACATCTTCTTTATTTGTGACAATTGCGCGGCAAATGGGCATTATGTCCAAATGAATTGTAATTTAAGCATTCCGGTTATGGCAGGAACAAGTAAATTATGTTCCAAGGACAAGTTCGTGGTCATACCAATACTATCATAATACTGAAAATCGTAAATTATCATTAATTCCTTTTTGGAGAAATCATGATTAATCAGGATAGGGGCAATCAGGTTAGTCAATATACTGACAATTGACTAATAAACTTGATAAATTTCTGGAGGGATTTAACCAAAAAAATGAACGTTAGTCAAGATTGATATTTTTAATATTTGGTTAGAATCCAAAGTTTGATAAGTTATTTCAAAAATCATTCATCATCCATACATATTTTGGAGGGTTACAGTTAGGGCAGCTTGCAAGTTGCTATTCCTTCACGTTTGAAGTGGGAAATCTTCCTAGTAATACAGAAAAGAATTCTAGGGAGAATGTAATGCCATGCCTTACGATAGTTGGAAAATAGTTACGATAAAATAGTTTCCCTTCGGGGTACTGATGTTTAATATTTTGAATAATTTGCAACTGTGCGAGCCGGTTTGTGACCGAGCATTGAAGTAAATAGTGCAGGCATCAAGAGGAACAAGAAAAAGGAAAGGACCAAGGAGAAGGACAACGTTTTAAAACTTATCAATCTAGCCACTCCTTTTCCGCAAGACTCAAGAAGAAGAAGAGCAAGATTAAGCAGTTTTCTTAAATTTTATTATAAACTGAAAAAAATTTGCCATTATCAAACATGTCGCTCATTGGAAGCTATCAACACATTCCAAATTACAGGTAAGTTCCCTTAAAGGAAATTCGATCTCGAAGAAACGTAGTTGGGAAGATGTGTCGACAGTCACTCTAACTGAGGAATTGTAGTTCCATAATTCACAAGTAAGTTACCTACTAAACTCAAAGAATTCAGGGAGTTTCACCTATACCATGCAAATTAGGTAAAGTAGATTTTCCTAGATGCTCTTGTTGTGATTTAGGAGCAAAGTATTAATTTGATGCCATTATCTCTCTTTTAAAGAAATTGGGATTTAGAGGATGAAGTTAAAAAAACTAATATGGTTCTACAACTTTGCTGACCAAACTATTAAAAGACCTTATGGTATCATTTTGAAGATGTACTCGTTAAGGTTTGACAAATTTTATTTTTCCAACTGATTTCGTTCATACTTGACTTTGTTTATGGATAAAAAATTGTCCTTTATTTTAGGAAGACCATTTTATGAAACACAGGGAGAGCATTAATTGATGTTTCAGAAGGAAAATTAGTCCTTAGATAGTGATGATGTCATTGATATTTCACTATAGATTAAAGCCATGAAATTCCTAATTGATTAGA